GATACCACAAACGAGATTTGAAATGTTCTCATTTCCACCAACAAAAATAGCAAACAAAACAATGTAATTGGACTGATATAACTCAAAATAATCGTTGAAATAAATTACGATTGCTTCCCATTCGTCCGCTTCTTGTAGAGCCAGGATAATGTGGTTGCAATCGTTGTCCCTACAATCACTGCATGTGAGATCACGTTTCCGACAAGAGGAGATGTTTAAGTTGCGAGGAATCTTGGACGAAATCTTGTACATGTAAAGCACAAACCTCAGTACTTTCTCAGGAACAGGATCTAAATCGGTAAGAGCTGGGGCTAAATTATTGTTTCTCATTTCCCAACTCTATCCGCACGGATCAATTTGGCAATGACCTAAGGTTTTGCAAATGTACACCGAAACACGTTCAGTTGGAGGCAGTCATCCAGGCTCTAACTTCTTCGCCGATGTTTTGGCATACTTCATATACTTGATGTACCTGAGGGAGTCCAATGTATCGTCTGTGTTTCCTCCATACATATTGACAAAATTCTACGACACCGCTGATGTAACTTGGGCAGTAGAAGCAGTTGTATCAGCGAAAGTAGCAAAACAAGACTGGATCTCCTTTGATCTATAAATAAGCCTGATTATCGTACATTTTCCACATCCAAATACAGCTGACGTTCAGTCACATCCACCCTGTGTCTGGATGACTGGCAAGTTCTGAATAACGTAGGAATTTCTCTTCTCTCTGATTTCACGGATGCTGAGAAGCATTTTAATTTTTTTCGGAGTCCTCTTTCCGTCAGAAAGCGTATAAAGGGCACGATGGATGAATTGTCGTCTAAATTAAGCAAATATGAAAGTAACAATGCCATCTCATTTTAATAGATATAGTTACCAAAATTACACACAAATATACGAAAGAGCAAATTTATTCAATAAAATCGCAGTGGGTTTCAACCATGGTCACCAGACGGCTTCGGAATCTCCTGTATATCTTCTGAACGGTCTCCTTTTTAAGTTGATGAATCTTGTCATAATCCTTGCCTTCAGTTCATCTTTGGTGTTTCAAGTTTGTTGATCTCTCATTCAATTAAACCCCACACATAATAATATCGGGGGTTGCAGTCTTGACAGATGTAATGTGGTCGCAGAAATTGTCTGACAGCTATAAATGGGTTATCCTACTTGTGTGGCATGCTGCAGAGTCCAGTTACCAGACAGGGCTTTCCACCAGCCACGTTCTTGACCTAGGGTAACACTACCTCCTCAATCACTTGATGTAGGCTTCCGTGTTGAATCTGAGGCCCTCACCAACAAATTCGTGAGTTCTTTTCTTAGAACGACCAGAGAAAGTTTTCCAAGTTGCTGTACCCTCGCAATTACCACTAGACTAATCCAACATTTTCCAAATCCTGTGCACTCTCCTCAGATTGACAATCAAACATCCTGAAATCTTTGTATTGGAGCTTCCGGGGCTAATGCCAAGAAGTACAGCATATCTTTTCCAAATTTCTGGTGAGCTGAATTGCGACATGGCGCTCTTTTTCACACGAATAGTGTCCAGCTGACCTTAGTATACTGTGCACTCAAGAAAATTTAAACAAACGAAGCGCATGCGCGAAATGAGAATATTTAATGGCGACGATTTACCTATCGCATCCAGCAGATATCAGCTATGTAGGGTGTCGATATCTTTTTCCTTGAGATAACAAGCCAAAATAGCACCTTTTTTTCCAGGTACAACTGATATTCATTCTATATCGACTAGACTAATTCGTACACTAGCTGTAATCTCTGT